AATGTGTAATATTTAGTACATCCTGCAAAGGGAACACATTTAATTTAGTTAAGCCACAAGGTTGAGTGAAAAACAGCATGCTGCCGTTATTGTTTAGTCAATTAAATTGTCCTCTGTGCTTGTAAGAACTGTTCCACATTTATAACCACTGAGATACACGCTCTGGCAATTTCTTTGCTTCCGATTGTCTTATATTTAGCACATCTAAAGATCTGAGGACAAATGATGGAAGACATGGTGATAAATTGTCAGGCTTTTCTAAAGATTCAGAAGTTCTAAAGTTCCTGCCAGTGACAGATGGTCTGTCCTTACTCATCGCTTGTCTTCCTGACAGGGCTCGATTTTTCCCCCTTTTTTGCTCAATTCCCTTAAAGTAAGCTCAGCTTCTTGGGAGGGGGCATAATCTCATTTGTTATAACTATGTTACGTTGCATCAATGCGGAAGCAACTCTACATGAACAGGCACCATGCACCTTTACAGTATTAACATATGTATTAACGCATACATAATACACCTGTATAGTGATAAGGGAGCAGCATGGGGTAAGGAGAGAGGAAACAGATTATGAAGGAAAATGCATACTTCTTTTCTGTTACTTTGATAACCAAATATATAGGAGTTTCCATTGGATAGTTTTTTCTTGCTGACTTGCCCAAGCATAATGCTGACTCCATAGCCCAGCCATAATATGATCTTTTGAGGAGTGTTTCTTATCATTATGGTAATAAAATATATATTATTTTTTTTATGATCTTAGCAATCTATTTTTTTGATATTTTGGATAAAAAATGCAATCAGTGTTTACTAACTTACTCGACATTGATAAGAATCCACAGAATGAACACACATAACTATCACAATGATGTGCTCAGCTGTAGAATAGATTCCCAGTGAAAAAAGGGGAAAAAATTCAATCAATTGCTTAATCCCTTTCATTGTTTTCAAATTTACTGCCAAAAGAGGAGATGATATACTAAGGTAAGGAAGATGGGGAAAGGAAACAATTTTCCCTGTTTGAGTTCTAACATAACTGTGAAATAAATAAAAAGACTTAAAAAATCCTAAGGTACCTTACAATCCCTTGTTAATCCTATATCCAGAAGTAATTCACTTCTTCAAGTTAGTAATGCCATTAGTCTGATTCAGTGTAACTTAGACTGAAGTGTATCAAGTAGAAAGGGATTAATATTACTTAAAAATAGAAAAATTATCGGATGGATTGATTTGGGACTCACAGTAGTTAGTTGGCATCTCTTATCCACACAAATAGCTGAGAATTTCTTTTTACTTAAATGTCTCTTCTAAGAATGTTCATTGTATGTTAGCTCAGTGTGATGTGAAAAGCATAAATGTTACCACTCCTTTCTATGTTTTCTTTTAATTCTGTTGTACTTTACCTTTCACACACATGCACACCTATGCATTATATACACTTATAGGTATAGTAGTAGATTTTATGTACATATACACAAACACATACTGTATACTAGTATAGATATAGTGATAGATTTTATTTTATCTCTACCATATACCTATTCTAGTCATTTAAGTGAAAGAACTCAAAGCTTACCAGGTTTCCAAAGTCTAGGCTATTGAACTTCCTGTCCTCTTTTTATGTTCCTTACTAAATACTCCTCCATTACAGATATCCATTATCTTTTTAGTCAATGGCTTTTTTCACATTGGTTACTTTTAGTAACATTCAGTAATTAAAAAAAACCAGAGAACCCCGACAGCATGAAGATATTAACTTAAACCTAAGAAAAGTATATGTCTCCTTTAGTGGCCCTTAAAGCAGATAATTAGTGGAAGTATTAACATTTTGTATACAACATAGCAATAAAAAACTTTCGACGTTTCTTTATAACATGGTGCCACAGTGATACATAGATTTCAGCTGTGTATATATATGTATATCTTGGTATGTAATTAAAGGGACAAGACATGTCTACCTTTTTATTCTTAAGTAACTTTCTGGTATAATTTGTTTTCCTTCTTCAACGAAAACTGGGCTCATAAACCAACAAACATGTCCTGAATATTTAACATGCGTGAACAGGCCAACAAATATTGCATGGTTTTGAAACCGTGTCTTTATAAAATCACAGAATTTAAAATTACTCTAAAGAACTATTTATTAAAGTTTATTAAGGCTAGAAAAAGGTACATAGCTAAGATTAACAAAAATGCATTGCATTAGATAAAATAGGCTAAATTGCTGTAACAAGTAGACCCAAAATGTGATGTTTCAAGAGGTTTATTTTTGGGTTAGCACAATACCACATCAGGTATTATAGGGTCTGCTCCATGAACGCAAGTTATTCTAGTAAATGATATATTTCTTTATCTACAGTAATGTGCTAATAATCGTTCTTCTTGTTTCCAATTTGTACTGTGAAATGTCTGATGTATTCACGCTCATGAGTGAAATTAAAGAAAGTAGTGGAAGAAGATTATCTCCCTGCTGATCCTAAGGAAGGGAGGGTGGTTTAGTGAATAGAATCATGGCCTTAGATGAAATGCTTTTCTCCTTTACTGAAACACAAGACTGAGCCTGTACGTCCGTGCATTTCATGCTTTTGCCTGAAAGCTATTTCAGGTCAGAGTATGAAAATGAGAAAAATTTATGGTCTAGACAAATTATCAGTGAGTTACCATCGTAACCCGTGCCCTCCATCTCTTTCATAAATGCTGTTGTGCAAGACAACTTTTCACTTCTAAAGGTCTACAGGTTAATGCAGAATTCTTATAACCAAATGTCGCTTAATCTGTCCAAATGGTACAGATTAACTAAATGAAGACAATTTAGGCTGAGTCATCTCTTCATTCTACTACGGATATTGCTTCAGTAGTACTTTCAGTCTACATTGTGGCTTTTATTTTTTTTTTTTCTGAATTCTTGCTGTTCCCAAATTTTAGCTATTCTTTTTTTTAGTCATGGGATTTTTATGTTTTTAATTTTTAATCTTTAATTTATTTCTGACAGAGAGACAGAGACTGAGACAGAGAGAGCATGAGCAGGGGACGGTCAGAGAGAGGGGGACATACAGAATCTGAAACAGGCTCCAGGCTCTGAGCTAGCTGTCAGGACAGAGCCGATGTGGGACTTGAACCCGTGAACCGTGAGATCATGACCTAAGCCAAAGTCGGATGCTTAATTGACTGAGCCACCCAAGTGATCCTATTCATCGGATTTTTTAAAAAAGGGCATTTCTATTTTGTCCGGAGAACTACTTTCCTTATATCAGAGTCTCTGGTTTGTATTTCTCTAGATTCTTATAGAGTTCCTGCTTATTTTCTAACATTTTTTATTGCTAATAAATTAATGATGATTTGTCTAAGATGATAAATATAATCATAAAATTTGAAAAGGATGCTGTCATTACTGGTATAAAGTGATTTCTTGTTTAGCTAAAACTGAAAACTGCAAAATCATATTTTCTACATTGTTTCACATATCATTTGAAAATACATGTATTTCAAAATGTGATAATCATGATATCACTTAAAAATAAATAACATATATTCACTTCTATGATAATGTTTTATCTACACACTCCAGTAGTCATAGGGACTGATGTGACACAATGGAAATAGTACAAAATTTATATTAAAATTAAAACAAAGATTCTGAAAACTATATCCTTTCAGAAAACATTGAATCGTACAAGAAATATATTTCCAATTGTATTTGTCATGATTCAGTGCATCTTTCAACAGTCATTTCTCAGTTGGTCAAAGAAGAACCAGGAAAACACAATCACCATATTTTAACAATTTCTTGATAGTTTTTAGAAATCATCTCCATTCAAAACCCAATCTTTGGGGGCACCCGGGTGGCTCAGTTAGTTAAGAGTCCAGCTTCGGCTCAGGTCATGATCTCACGACTTGTGAGTTTGAGCCCCACATTGTGCTCTGTGCTGACAGCTCAGAGCCTGGAGGCTGCTTTGGATTCTGTGTCTCCCTCTCTCTCTGCCCCTCCTCTACTCAGGCTCTGTGTCCGTCTCTCAAAAATGAATAAACATTAAAAAAATTAAAAAACCTATATTTGGGTATTATTGCCAAAAACATCAGAATAATCTCTTACAAAAGAGTCTTACCTATTTTATGCCTGTATGCCCATGGCATGAATCATAACAACATGCCTTAAAATTGTAAGATTGGGTAGAATGGAAACAGATACAAAAGCTACCTCAACTATACACACCCCATACCCCCACACACATACCCACACATACACTCCAGCTGTGTGTGTGTGTGTGTGTGTGTGTGTGTGTGCCCCAGCTTACTTTTTTAGGCCAAGCCAAGAATCATTTAGAATCAATTAATCCAAAATTTGTCAGCCAAGATTTCTACCTATATATTGTTTGCTTTTCCTTTTACATAAATTTTGTTTGTTTGTTATTAGCAAGCTAAAAGCTACTGAAGTTACTCACCCATAACTTAATGCTAATATAATGTTTATTGCTTTTAGTTTTTACATTCAGATAATTTTATAATTGGATCTCCTTAGGAAACACAGCACAAAGCTTTTAAGAACATGGAACAATTTACTTTAAGAAAATGGCAAGCATATACACAAGGATATAGCAGAAGATAAGAATGTTAAGTTAGAGCCAGATTGTGGAGGGATGTGGACTTAGATAGAAAGCCATAGAAGCTTATTTGGAATAGGAAATATGATTTGAACCAAACTCCCAGTTAAATCACTGTATAGTATTATTTAGTTTTTATGTTGAAACTTTTTTTCTAGAGTTTTGATGAATTTTATTTTCAAACTTAATTAGCAAGTCTACACTGCATCTACATGTTGAACAAAAATGCTTCTATAGTGTTTTGCTAACAGTTTACCATCTTTAATTTAATAACAAAGACCTTTGTAATATATGATATTTTTGCTTTGTTTTCTTTTGTTTGCCATTTGCAAAGTATGTTCAGTTGCTTTGGTTTGGTTTTCACCGTTAATGCTGACTGATAGCTGGTTTGTTTTCTATTCTAGGTTGTGGAGACTAATTTGGTTGCTTTTGACTGTCACTGGATCATTATAAATGAGGTAACACCACTGATCCTTATTGTCAACTCTGGGTTCTGTTTTCATATATTTAGTCACGGCATTTCCTATGGCCTTGGAGTTCTAAGAGGAAACAGAACACAAAGTAAACTGTCAGCTTCCTGACTGGATGCTAACTAAAAATAGAATAAGGAGTTTTCAGAAAATTATAAATGGTTTTGAATGAATAAAATAAATGGAGATTATCTTCCCACTGAGTATCTTTTAGTCTTTTCCGTTGGCATACACTGTTTGCTTCAGGAAATCATCTTTATAAAAAGTACAGTTCTTCTTTGTGAGCAAACTGAATTCCTCCCAGTGGAGTGCCTGTGTTCCATTTATATTTTAATGTTGTTTCTAGAATTTTTATATCCCACCACCCTTACATGAGTATTAAATAGTTCAGCAGATGAATATGAATAAAGAGAAATAGATATTTTATTTCCATAATGAAATACAATTATTTTAAATTCCATCAAGTTGTCAAGTTCCTTATGAAAGTTTGTTGATTTTTGTAGAGACAATACATAAGATTAAAAATATATTATAACATGAGAACTCTGTGAGATAGATTATTCCACTGACACCTGCCAATCAGAAATGGAAAGAAAAAGGAGAGAACAGTCATGGACAAATAATGAGATCACATGAATTTTCCCCAACGAGACTTACTATTCATACATCAGTCATGGACAAATAATGAGATCACATGAATTTTCCCCAAAAAGACTTTTTCATACATCTATTGCTCATGAAAAAAAGAATACATTATTTATTTGTTAGCTGTGTTACTATAGATATATAATATAATCATCCTGTGTCTGTCTTTTCATGTGTACAGTACACTTAATCACATTTACTTTATCAGAATTTTTTTTTATTTTTATTTTTATCAGAAAAAATTTTTCATTATAAAAATTAAGTGAGATATTACCTAATACTCAACATACTGCTGACAATTGACACTGACTAAAGGGTACTACAGTAATGATTACAGCACAATAAAGTCCACAGGTCACTTTCTCACATGTTAATTTGTTGAATAATAAACATTCGTATTCTATGAAGCACTGAGGGGATGAAGTTCATAGAGTGTAAACTGATTTTTCATCAAAAGTAAAATGATTCAAGTTTTCAAGTTGTGTCTCCTATACATGGGTAGAATTTTAGTTCTTTTTTTTTTCGAGCTAAATTAACATATTAAATCATATATTCAGGTCTATAACACAATGATTGTATGTATATATAAATGACCATCACAGTAAGTCCAGTAACCACCTATAACCATACAAAGTTATAAGATTTTTTTCTTGTGACAAGAACTTTGATGATCTACTCTCTTTGCAGCTTTCAAATAAGAAATACAGTATCACTGATTACAGTCACCATGCTGTACATTACATCCCCATGATTGATTTTATAACTACAAGTTTGGCTTTCTTAATCCCCTTCACCCATTTTTCCCCATCCTAATCCCCCTCTCCTTTGGCAACCATCAAAGGTGGTTGTATCTATTAGTTTTGTTTTGTTTGTTCATTTATTTTGATTTTAAGATTCCACAGGTAAGTGAAATCATGTGTTATTTGTCTTTCTCTGAGTTATTTCACTTAACATAATACGCTTAAGGTTTATTCATGTTGTTGTGAATGGCAAGACTTTATTCTCTTTTAAAGCTTAGTAGTATTCCATAGTGTGTGCGTATGTACATATATATGTATCTCACATCTTCTTCATCCGTTTGTCTATTGATGGACACTTAGATTGCTTCTATATTTTGGCTACTGGAAATAATGCTGCAGTGAACATAGGCGTGCTTATGCCTTTTTGAATTAGTATCTTTGTTTTCTTTGGATAAATACCCAGAAATGGAATTGCTGGAGCATATGTGTGGGTTGTATTTTTTTTTTCTTTTTTCAATTTTTTGAGGAAACCCCATACTGTTTTCCATAGTGGCTATACAATATACATTCCTACCAACACTGCACAAAGTTTCCCTTTTCTCTACATCCTTCCCAACACTTATTATCTCTTATCTTTTTTTGATAATATCCATCTAATAGATGTGAGCTGATATCTCCCAGTGAGTTTGATTTTCATTTGACTGATGATTAGTGATACTGAGAATCTTTTCATGTGCTTGTTGGCCATTTGTGTATCTTTGGGAAAAAAAAAATGTTTGCTCAGGTCCTTTGCCCATTTTTACATTTCAGGGCTGTTTTTGATGTTGAGATGTATGAGTTCTTATATATTTTGGACATTAACCCTGCTTCCAATCAAAAGGTATCTCTTTCATCTTGTTGATGGTTTCCTTCACATGTGCAGAAGCTTGTTTGTTTTATTTTGTTTTTTATTTTAGTTTGAAACAGTATTAACTTGTTTACTTTTTGGTTTTGTTGCCCTAACCTTTGGAATCAGATCCAAAAAGTCATGGCCAAGACTCAGGTCTAGAAACTCACCACCCTTTTTTTTTCCCCCCAGTAGGAGCTCTATGGTTTCAGTTCATAAATTAAAATCTTTCATCCATTTAATTCTTGTGCATAGTATAGGAAGTCTAATTTCATTCTTTTGTGTGACTGTCCAGTTTTCCCAACACCATTTATTATGGACTGTCTTTCCTATTGTATATACTTGGCTCATTTGTTCTAAATTAATTGACTGACCATATATGTGTGGGTTCCTTCTGGTCTATCTATTGTGTTCCATTATTCTATGTGTATTTTTTATGCCAGTGCCATACAATTTTGGTTATTATAATTTTGTAATATAGTGTGAAATAAGAGAGTGTGAGGCCTCCATGTTTGTTCTTTCTCAAGATTGCTTTGACTATTCAGAATCCTTTGTGGTTCCATAAAAATTTTAGGATTGTTTGTTCTATTTCTGTGAAAAGTGCCATTGAAATTTTATAAAGATTGCAAAGAATCTGTAAATTGCCTTTTAGACAAAGATAATGTGGACCTTTGAACAATAGTAATTCTTCCAATCCATTAGCATGAAATACATTCTCATTTAGTTGTTTCCTCTTCAATTTATTTCATCAATGTCTTAATGTAGGTCTTTCACTTCCTTGGTTAAACTTGTTCCTATATATCTTATTCTTTTTGAGTGGTTGTGAGTGAAATTGTTTTCTTAATTTCTCCTCTGGTTTTGCTTCATCCTATAGATTTAGGCATGTTGCATTTCCATCTTCATTTGTCTCAACATATTTTTTTTTTAATTTCTCCTTTGATACTTTTGTTAACCATTGGTCATTCAGTAGCATATTGTTTCTACATATTTGTGAATTTTCTTGTAATTAATTTCTAGTTTCCTCCCATTCTGGTAGGAAAAGATGCTTGGTATAATTCCAGTCTTCTTAAATTCATTAAGACTTATTTTTTGGACTAACACATGATCTTGGAGAATGTTCTGGGGTCCACTTGAGAGAAATATATATTCTGCTGCTTTTCAGTGGAATGTCCTGTATATATTTAAGTCCATCTGATTTAATATGTCATTTAAAAGCAATATTTTCTTGTTGATTTTCTATCTGGATGTTCTGTCCATTGATGTAAGTGGGGTGTTAAGAGTTTCTATTATTAGTGTATTTCTTCTATTTATTGTATCTATTCATCCAATTTTATGTTGGGCATATAAATATTCACAAATGTTATATCTTCTTGTTGTAATCACCAGCTTATTATTATGTAATCTCATCCTTGTCTTTATTACAATTTTTATTTTAAGGTCTATTTTGTCTCATAAATTATTTACCCAGCTTTCTTTTGATTTCCATTTTCATGAAATATCTTATCCCATACCTTCACTTTCATCTGTGTGTGTCCTTACATCTGAGGTGAGCCTCTTATAGGCAGTACAGAGATGGGGTTTATTTTTGTTTTACTCCTTCACTCAATCTGTGTCTTTTGATTGGGGAATCTAATTCATTTACATTTAAAGCAGTTATTGAAAAGTGTGTACTTATTGCCATTTTGTTCATTGTTTTCTAGCTGTTTTGTAGTTCCTCTCTATACCTTTCTTCTTTTGCTGTCTTTCCTGGTGATTTGATGGCTTTCTTTAGTGTTATGCTTAGATTTCTCTTTCATTATGTTTTGTATAACTACTATAGGTTTTAGCATTATGATTATCATGAGACTCACATATAACTTCCTATATGGGAAACAGTATACTTTCAGTTGATAGCAAGTTGAGTTTGAACACATTTTTTAAAATTTTATTTTAGAAAGAGAGAAAGAGAAAGCATGAGTAGGTAAGGAGGCAGAAGGAGAGAGATCCCAAGCAGGCTCCATGCTCAGCACAGAGCCCAGTGTGGGGTTCAATCCCAGAACCCTGAAATCACGACCTGAGCCAAAAATCAAGAGTCTGACACTGAACCAACTCAGTCACCCAAACACCCTGAGTTTGAACACATTCTAAAACTACATTTTTACTCTTCTGCCACCTTTTATGTTTTCATGTTTATTTTCATCTTTTTTATTCTGTGTATCCCTTAATGATTATAGTATTTTTTAAACTGTATAAATGGAATATTTTTGGTTGTGAGTTGTTGTTGTTGTTGTTTTTTCTTTTTTCCTTTTAGTAGTTTGAATATGCCATGCACTCCCTCTGACTTACAAAATTTCTGCTGAAAAATATGCTGATAGCTTTAGGGGGATTCCCTTATATGTAAAAAATTGTTTTTCTCTTAATTGCCTTTTAATATTCTCTCTTATCTTTAAATTCTGAAATTTTAATTATAATATACCTTGGTGTGGCTGTCTTTGGGTTCCTATTATTTTCCATTCTCTGGACAGCTGGAACTGGATTCTGTTTCCTTTCCCAGGTTAGGGAAGTTTTCAGCCATTATTTCTTAAAATATGTTTTTTGGCCCCTTTATCACTCTGTTCTCCTGGGACTTTTATAATAAAAATTCTGTTCTGTTTGATGTTGTTTTATAGATCCTTTGAGCTATTTTGTTTTTAATTCATTTTCTTTTTACTGCTGTGACTGGGTAAGTTCCATTGCCT